GCCCTCTCGTTTGGAACGGTCGTGTTCCTGTTCTGGCGTAATTATTTCGGTGAGGTCACACAAAAGGGAAGCACTTGACTTNCTTATTAGAGCTCATCAGCAGTGCACATCCAATGGCCGTGTCGGGATTTGAACCCCGGATATCTGACATGCGAGGCGAGCGTGTAATCACTACTCCACCAACGTACGTTGGACGCATCTGAATTTTCACATCTGAACTGGTAAACGTGTTCACACTTGAGCAATGTGATTTTATAAATTATTTGACAAAGGGTTTTGATGGGCGTGAGATAACTAAGTAGTTAAGGTGCGTGCTTAATGATCCGAGGGTCTATACTTCGAAACCGACGTCTCGACTGCTCTTCTCTAGACTTGGGCAACCTGACAGGATCTCCACCCTTCTGCCTCCTTCAGGTGGCACGGCAGCTAGGCACCAAAAGTGCCTGTTAACACATAAAGTTAATTTGTTTACTAAGCGTTCTGATAAATCGCTATGGCAATGGTCCGCCATTTGAAGAACGTGGTTTCCAGGAACGTTTCCCAGAAATCCAGTTGAAAAGAAGAACCGCATTCTTGATGTAAGTCGTTTTGAACAGGGGCCTACTCCTGTGAGTTCACACATGCTTTCGTCAGCAGTGGCACATGAGAAAAAATCAAGTTTTTGGGGAAACTTAAACAAACGAAGCAGTTCCGTGGATTTCATTTTGTCAGCAAGCTATACAGCTTCATCCTTGTCGACATCCATTGTCTCAAGTTAGATCACATGATGTTACGTTCGTGGCCACTGAAAAATCAATATTGAAAACTCAATGAAGCCGGGTGGAATAATTAGAGGTGAACATGATGTAAATGAATTAGTGGGTACTAAAAGGGAAATGTAGTTTATGTAAACTCAGGGAAGAGAATGGGGTTGTGATGTTCGATCATCAGGCTAGTGCAACTTTATTGATTTGCCTGTACAACTGGGTTCTGAGAGGTTGAAAACGACAGCCTCGGCAGTTTTGAAGAGTTGATCGTATCTAGTTTTGAGAACTTCAAAAAGATGTTGAGAGGTTTCTAAACTGTGGCCACTTTCCAGTCCTGGACAATCATGGTCCTCTTGGATCCTTTGGGATTTGCTCAGCATCACGAGTCCCGAGATCCCTCCTAGTTTGACCGATGTACCATCAAATTGATAAATGACGTTAACTTTGGTGCCCCCCCCCCCCCCAATAAAGGCGAATCGGGCTGCGCTAAACGTCCGTTACTGTGCCCTGCTCGAACAGAGGACGTCACCTGTCAAAAGAACTAAAAAGTACATCAATTTCCGGGGGACGGCTAAACTCCAAAATGGGTTATTCCAGGTTTTTAGATTCGTTCTTAAGCCTCAACAAATACTTGTTTTTTTTTACTTTTGATGGGCTTCTGTGTAGTTTGACCGATTCGGTGAGGAAACTGCACGATCGACCGACAGACTGTTGTGTGGAAAAACTGGCAGTCTGAGTGAACCTACACACACACACACACACACACACACACACACACACGAACAAGCCAGGCGTCGGTCAATTAGGCCACTACATGTGACATGGCTGTTTGGAATTTTGCGAACATGCGATTTCTGAAAAACAGGTACGTAAGCTAATAGGAGTAAGGGTTCAGCTGTGATCCAAATTGCCCTGTGGAAGAAACCTAACATCGTGGGTCTGGCTGATTTGGGAGTGGCTAAGTAATTTTCTGATAAAGACAAGCCGACAAACCACCGATTGGGCTGTGTTCCCGGTCAGCCCTCGCCTTGCTCTCCGATTGGTTTTGATCGATAGTTATCATTCGAAGAGTTGAGCAAATGCCGTTGTCAACCCGTAGAAGTTTTCTGTGGATTTGGTCAGTATAACACGGCATTCGATATTCAAATCCTCGGATTTTTTCATTGACATCTTCCAAGAACAACACATCTTCGTTCTTGACCTTTCCTGTACCCTGTTCCCCTTACATGTCACCGCGCAAATCACGTGTAGAACCCCATGTGTAGACTCTCATCCTAGGAAGACTAAACCGGTTTCATTGTTTTCCGGTCCAAGTAAGCTTGTCGTGGTAAACTGAATCGTTGACTTGTTTGGACGTAAAACACTACTCATAAGGTCGATAAAAACTCAGCCCGTCACCGGTTTCGCCCTCTTCGGGGCTTAGCTGGTGGGCGAATCGCCTGAGTGTCCCTCAACTTCACATTCAACGTGAACTCCAGTTGAACAGATTCCGACGGAGAATTTCATTTGCACACGAACTTGGTTTGGACGGGGGACTCAACTTGATCCATTTGAATTTATCGTTTATGATGGTCCGATTCAACTGCATGCGCTGTCGATGTCTGCTAACAACTACGGTTTCAAGTGAAACATAAGTTCGACCGAACTTCGGGAACAACGCCTTCCTGATGAACCCGAAGAGGGGTGAAACCGGTCATGGGCTGTCGAAGATTTTTCAGCAACCTTATGAGTAGTGCGTTGGGTCCGGAACACGAAATGTTTAGGTCAACCCTATCTAGTGGCACGTAAATCAACGCACACCCGTTGATCCATCCCCGTCACCATGCTTCACCCCGTTCCCTTGCAATCCGCCAATGATGTCACCTTGCTTGGTGATTAAACGTTTGCCCAGTTCAGTGAACAAACCAACAACCGTGTTCTGGAAACACACTGCAAAACATCTCGTCAGACGCATCCTCTATTGATGACAATGTCCACAGCAGATTCCACTGAACACACACTGAGCCATTCATGCTCTTCCTGAATTACCTACGTCAATAAAATGTATGACGATATCAGTGTATCGTACCAAATGAAACATAGGGGCAGCCTGATTTGGCACATTCAGTTGGAGAAGAACATTATAAACGAGCGATTCAGCTGGGTTGCATGTGAGTCTCTTGTCAAAACCAGGTTGGTATGCACATGAGCGTATTAGTAGAACAGACTTGGCTTGTTTGTTTGTTAGGCTTTTGAGAATCCGTCAAGTGAGAAGAAATTCACTAGCTTCTTGTTGTGAACATGTCAGTGAGGCTTCTCTCGCCAATCAAAACGCACAAGACTGGCTCTGTGAGTGCCATCAGAATGTTACGTAGGCGCTGTATGACACCCGCCAGTGCTTGACGTAAAGGCGATTATTGGCGGTATGTATCATGAAACAAAAGACAATGTTGGTTGGACCGATAACAGATGAGTTGATTAGAGCAGCACTTCAAGCCGACTTGTTATCAAATTCAGGCAGAAAATTAGATCGACTTGAACAGAAGAAAGCCAACGCACCTAAGTGTGAAGAACAAAGTGAATGTATCTCGGCAGAATGAGAAAGCAACCAACCTTTAGTTCAACCAAGTCACGAAAACTTTGGACCGCGGTAGCAATTGGAGAAACATAAAATTTCGCAAAAAAGGAAAATTAGGCCTAGTAAAGGATACTACTCACAAAGTTTCTTCCACAGCAAACGACTTGTTTCGCTCTTCTGGCGATTCATCAGGTAGGCGTGGTCGCCGAGTTTCCCTCAACTTTATGTTCAAAATGAGAGGATGCTCATTTGAATCTGTGGTGGCCCGCTTCAAATCACAAATACCTCCTCGTGTATCGGGTGGTACGATATTCGAAATATTGCGATACATTTTATGGACACTACACTGAAAACTCCCCGACACCACTCTAGCCATTTCTTACTTCTTGAGTAGTGTGTTCTGTGGAGAAAACGCACTGCGAGATCTGGAATATCTTACCAATTGAAACACGGCAAATTCAGCTAAAAGATATCATAAACTAAAGTTCCAGGTGAGTCATTCGTAAAAACCAAATAGGCATGCAAAGGCATGTAACTGTAGACAAATAAGCCAGTTTTTTATTTCGGTGTTGGGGGGTGACGAAACAATGTGTAAAAAGAAGTCCTCTGTCCCCACTATTCTTCAACTCTGTCGAGGCTTCATCTGGTGTGACTTCATGCCTATATAAACTCAAACTCAAGCATTTTTGAACAGTAGGGGTGACGAAACAATGTGTAAAAAGAAGTCCTCTGTCCCCACTATTCTTCAACTCTGTCGAGGCTTCATCTGGTGTGACTTCATGCCTATATAAACTCAAACTCAAGCATTTTTGAACAGTAAAAGAGCGCAAAGGTATCAACATCTAAACATGTGGGTTTCTTGTACTTTTACACGAAAACTGTGGGAGGGGAGTGGTCTAAAAACCTTCGCACATGTGGAAGACATCTGAGTGGGGCTGAGTACCGGGCGCTAAGCTTTTGTGTCTCTCGTGGCCTTGTCCTCAAACTGAACTGGTTCACTCAAAGAATCTATGAAATCGGATTATCCGCACCTTGAATGTCCACGTTACATTTCATTTGACTCATCTTCAAACCAGCATCATGAGAAAATCAGAGGAGGATGTGCAAGTGTGAATAACGCCAGTTGTTTTAATTCATGAAGTCAGATTAAAACGTTAGTCCATTGGGAATGATGTTCAAACGAAAATTGGAGTTTGCCGATGAGTGGTACTCCAGACAAAACGCAATCAATAAACGCATCGAAATCGATCGGCCGCTGCGAACGAAAATAATTACACGGTCTCAAGACTCTAAGCCACATGAAAATCGAACAGCCTAACAGGACTAGCTGACCAATCAGAACAAAGAAAAAAACAGCTGAAAAGTTCAGAAGGCTGTTAGCAGTTCATTCGATCAGCAAATCAAGCTGAACGAAATCAGACTACAAAGCCAGAAGGAGATCGAAACGAAGGAATAGGACTGTCGATTCGAAGGTGCACAACAAACCAATCAGATACAAGGAAATGATATCACGGCGCAATCCAGATTCCAATTCGACCAACCAAATTACTCGAAAGACACCTGAGGAGGAACCAATCGCATTGGATGTATTATTTACGACTTAGAGAAACCACATAAACACTGTCACAGGAGGGTGAATTTACCCACCTAACTTGGCACTGACGGTGTCACCTTGATTGCTGATGAAACGTTCGCAGTCCAACCGGTAAGCTCGGCGAACAGAATTCTAACCAATCCAGGTTCTCTCATAGGACGCTCGAGAATTTCACAGAACGGAATGTCCACTTAGGCGAAATACAAAAAGCCGGTAAGATGGAGCATTAAGTGTAACTTTAGCAATATAAAGAAGGGGTTATCGAAATGAGCTCACGGATGCTAGGATTACGGCAATTGGGCGTATGTCTCAAAGTTTACAGTACCCCATTGTACCCCCATCGGTTGCCACTGACACGGAGCTGAGCGAGTAACTTTTTCAATATATCATCTACTATTTGTCACAAGTGTAGACGAAGCAATTTAAAACCAACTTAAAGACGACGAGAGAGAGCACTTCAAGTGGTAAGGTCAAAGTACACAACCTTTTTCTCTGACGCCCTCTTGAGCAGTCCTTTGAAGCAAGGTTGATCGGATGTGGTTGAACAGTAAACATCTGGTCGGTCTGTCAGACCACTGTGCAAAAACTGTTTTGGAAAGTAGATCGGTTAATGGCATAGCTTGATTTGCGGAACTAAATTTTGAATCATCTGATAATCTACTCGGTACCTTCCTTCTAACCGATGCACTGGGACCGACTTCTTGCACATGTTGGTCAGTCCCTTGACCATTTGAAGAAAGACGTGGTCAGAGGTTCTCTTCTCCGTGCCGAAGGAGTTGCTCCACTGAAGCAAATGAACTGATAAACTCGGGGTTGGTTCGACAATTTGATTGATTTTTGAACGTTTGTTTAATCATGGGGAGGATATAGTTAAACTGACGTATATTTTGGCGCAGGGGAAGGTGTCTTTAAACAACTTAGCAGCCCACGTGCTCCGCAGCTACAGTAACAATGGCATTCAAGTTTTACTTGCTTTATCCCACATTTATCGGCGAAAATCGATCCGGGTCCAAAGAAGGACGAAACCAGAAGCTCACTGACTAAGCATTATGAGTAGTATGGAAACCCAAATTTATCGTCGTCCTGGTTCCCGATAGGATCTTCTCCAATGCTGATCTGATCCTACGTATAACCTCTACACTTATATCACATGCATGGCAGAAGGTTTTGAGCGGGGGTCTCTCCTACCCTATTGACACCCCGTTCCGGAAACCTTTACGCCTGGTATCAGGTATTTATGAAGCCAACTGAAGGTCTGAACTGGACTCAGTGAAGCGGGATAACTGTGGCCATGCTGAACCAACCTGACAACGAGTCTTGCACATTACGCAGGCCGTTTCACTGTACGATCTGCTCTCATTCCAGTTGCGAGTTTGGAAATTCACACACATCACAAGCGAGAGATTCAGCTGGGTTCCTGGTGAGCCTCTGGCGAAACCAAATTCTTTTTCAACTGAGTGTATTTCGCTGATTTCGTGCAAGTTGGATTCAAGTAAAACATAAGGTTGACGAAAATTCAGAGACTGCGCCTGCCTGACGAGCCCCAAAAAGGGTGAAACCGGTAGTGGACTGTCGAACAATTGTCAACGACCTTATGAGTAGTGTATTACGAACACACATGTATTGCTATATCCCGAAGATCGTAGCAACTGAAACATGGGAAGGCCTGCTGCAGCACACTCAGTTGCTTGAAAACATCACAAACGAGAGATTCAGCTCGGTTCCAGGTGAGTCTCTGCCAAAGCCCGAGTTTCCGTCAACCTAATGTTCTACTTGAGCCCAAAATGATTTGCAAATTGGTGTATCTCTCAAAATCAGTCCAATCTGGGTTCGGCTAGAACGTCAACCTGGGAACTGCGTCTACCTGATGAGCCCCAAGAAGGGCGAAACTGGTCGTGGGCTGTCGAAGAGCTTTCAGCAACCTTGTGAGCAGTTCCCCTCATTGTAATGTTTTATTTGATAGTTTTCATATAACGAAAAAAATTGGATGTACCCACGAGTTCCCGATCCTCTCAAGTATTGTACCGGTGGAAACATGAAGCGGCCTTTGTGCAACTCATTCACTATCAGCGTCATCACCATCACCATCATCATCGTCATCATCATCATATTCATCTTCGCCATCATCATCACCACCGTCATCATCATCATCATCATCAATAGGGTTTCAGTTGACCCTCTCATGAAATCCAAATCGCTAAGAAAATGGGTGTATATGCACTTTTGTCTAGTAGCGTATTATGAATATGAAAGCCACCCACTCAACTACACACTGATGATTTTACGTCGATTCGTGACGGAACGTTTGCCAGCTGGTCGGTGAACAGAGAGACAACTACCTGATCAATACCGGTGAATGCATCTGAGCAGTTGGTCGCGTGTTAGACAGGTCTACTGCATAGGTGTAACCGTGAAGAACAATGGCTGACGTGTAAAGGTAGCCACCCATTTATCTCATCAGTAGTATTGGGAGACAGATGAAAATTCAGTGCGACCAATATCTTGATTTATTCCAATTTCTGCTTTTAAATCACACCCATTCATCTCCGTTCTTTTCGCGTAACATAAAAACCATAGTGGATTCGATGGGCTCAAACAAGACACGCAGAAAAACACCAGAGTTGTTGTTATTGTTCAGACAATGTTGAAGCACCCTACCTGTCATCGTTCTTCATCCGATGGAACAGCAGAAGTCAGAAATTTCGGGTCTTATTTTGGCTACCTATCGTTGACGTTTTGACGGTCTGTCGCTAAAACCAGTGAGTTGCTGTGTATGTGCACATTAGATACATAGCTGTGTGCGTCAGTGTGCATCGCGTCTCTCTGCCATTGTTGCAGGTGACATATTGTCTGTCAATTTAATATTCTGGATGTCACTGACACATGTCAAGGTGTGGTAGAACAGACAGTCTCTGACCGTCGTCCAACACCTGATAGGCTGCTTCATCGACCAATCACATGGGAGTAATTTCAGCCTGCGCATTTCCTTAATCTTGATTGGTCTACGCTGATTTGTTTTTATCTCCTGCCTCTTAAATATGAACTCCTTGCTCTCGACACATTCCTCGTGAGGCGTAGCCGCTTGTGCTGTTGTCCTTGAACATCGCTTTTTTATTTTAACTCTTGGAATCTATCTCACGCGTGCTTTCACTTCACCAAGTATGAGGATTAGACATCCACATTCAGTTCCATCGGAATGCCGATGAGGATTAGACATCCACATTCAGTTCCATCTGCTCGGAACGCCGATGGCATAGAATTGACGACAGTTTCTTCTCATGACACATATGCAACCGGGACATCATCCTATTTGTGTTCCTCCCCGTCTCCGGTCATGCCGGATGTCGGCAATTTTGACAAACAATCTCCACCGCCGCTCACCTATAAAGGTGAGTACTTTTCCCCGAGCAATCCTGATGTAACTGAAGAAAACAACACCACCTATTTAAAACCGGATTTCCTCGAACCCCTCACGGTGACGAAAGTAAGTTTCCCAGTTTGTTGTTCCTTAGAGTGTTCATTGAATTTTTGAGTGATAAGCGAGAGGTTTAACCCAGTTCCCATAAACCTCACTATTGCCAGTTGTCTAGTAAGCACCTTCAGAACATCTCGTCGAAAGCATTGCTTCTCTGAGTGAATTTGATGAATATGGACAAGATGGCTCAGATAAATGGAGCGCGAATAAATGACGGTCCGTGGTGTGGTTCGAACCCGACCTCTGCCTCTCGACTTCTCCCTTGTCTAGGCTTGGGCGACCCGGCAGTATCCAAGCCCTCGTGCCTCCCTCGGGTAGCATGGCAGCTAGGTACCGGAAGAGTTACAGCCGAACGATTTTTAATTTTTTCCCTGGTGTTTTGAACGGATTCTTCTAAGGATGGGATGAAAATTTTCACTTAGTTTAAAGTGGATGCCCCAACTCTTCTTTGCCCTAACCTGCTCATGATTGACATACATGAGTACAAGACAGTGAACCGGCGTAATGCTCATCCGTCCAGTCCGCTAGATCACTAGGCACTAGTGACTGGTTACGCACAAAAGACGGGTTATCACGAACGCGCATACGAGAACTCGATGACTATTCATGTGTTACTTGTGGTCTTATGCGATCCGTCAGTGTTATTACATTCGAGTGTGGGGATCTGTGATTCCGTTCAAAAGACCAGTGCTGCGTTTGCACTCAAGTTCTAACTGTCAGCTTAATCAGGTTCATTCAGTCAACGATAACATTTTTGTTGGGATAGTCTATTTGTTGTACTTATAAAAAGTTATTTCAAGCTATCCATATATATATATATATGGCTTAGTGGATAGGGTGCTAATTTACTGATCAGAAGGTCTGTGGTTCGCAACCGACCTCTGCCTCTCGACTTCCCCTGTCTAGGCTTGGGCAACCTGGCAGTATTCCAGCCCTCGTGCTTCCTTCGGGTACAAATGAGCGATTATATATATATATATATATATATATATATATGCATCGCTAGCGTTTCTATTATAGTGTATCCTCTTGAGGAGTAAATCCGCCTGCCCTAGGGTTCTGGAGAGATGGCGAACTTGTTTGCTTGACTTCCAAACATATTTAGTCTTTTTCTCACCTGGCATCCAACCTCTTCGTCCCAAACAGGGACTGTAACCGTTGGCAGTCTGAAAAATTTTCTTTCATACCACCTCACATTGTGATCTTTAGTTTTTGGGATAACTGTCATGTGAACGTCCTTGAGCACCGTAATATATCTACGAAACTTGTCACATAAGCTCTTTTGGGTTCCCAAAAAGCGTGTTCGCAAAGAGTTCTTTGTTTTAGCCGACGATTGCGGCGACACACTGTAGGTGACAAGACCGCATTGACACTGACCAGCTGGTGGCATTTTTAGCAATGTTGCTCTTTCCTCGGGTATTTTACTCCCACCTGCAATCTCTTTTGAATAGTAGGCCGAGTTCGTATTGACAAACTTCGTGTAAATAGACTCTTCAAGAAGTTACCATAAGTAACCACTTGTTTGGGCTATCAGTCAGTTCTTCAGTTTTGGTGTACACTCGATATACCTCAGTGGCTAAGGGGGGAGGCGAGATAGCCCAAGTGGTTAGAGCGCGAATTTACTGACCGAAATATCCGCGGTTTGAACCCGACGTTTCCATCTCGACTTCTCCCCTGTCTAGGCTTGGGAAACCTGGCAGTATCCCAGTCCTCGTGCAACCTTCACGTGGCATGGCAGTTAGGCACCGAAAGTAGGTTGCAGCTGAAGAACCACTGTCAGTATTATTATTATTATTATTATTATTACTCTTAGTATTAATATGGACATCGCTTTGTTCATGCACCAAAAAGATACGCTTGGACACCCTTTATGGAGGTAATCACTAACATATTCTATTAAACGTCAGCATGATGAGTGTACGTACGCTATTTGACTCGACATACCTGTTTATCATGCCAGTGAGGTAGGAACCTGAGAGTAGACTTATGAGTTTGTGGGATTCATAATTTTGATTTCATGGTTGAAGTCTTCCGAGTAGAGGAAAATCATTCAAACCCGCGAGGACAAAAGCGCCCTCGATGGCCTACTCAGCAATTGAAAAAAGGGTAAACTTCAAAGCCTGTTCACAAGACACTGATTATTTAATTAATTAATTAATTAATTAATTAAATAATCAGTGTCTTGTGAACAGGCTTCCTGTACACACCAGTTAGTGACGAGATGGCTCAGTATTAAGAGCGCGAGCTTACTGACCAGAAGGTCCATGGTTCGAACTCGATCTCTCGACTTCCCCTTTCTAGGTTAGGCATGCCCTCATGCTTTCTTTGAGAAGCTTGTCACTTAGGCACCGAAAGATCCCTACAGCTGAACGATTTTCACCCGTGCTGTTTGCAGAATAATTGTTCTTCGACTGTGTACTTGACATCAAGGCAGACAACCTCTTCTTGAAAACTATGCTGCTCTAATCGGTGTAGTGACTGGAAACGATGCTCTGTGATCAGACCGACGAAGACGAAGTATTTCGGCAAGCTTCGGCTACTCCAACATCATCCATCAAGATTAGTGTGGATCGATACGGTGTGCTCATGATCGATACATTGTGATCATCTCCCAAGACGATCAGAAGTGGAACTAAGCAACATAGTGGTGCAGTTACCTGAATAGTGAAAATCGAAATCCACCGGATAAAGAAAACGGGTCGGTTTGTAAGATAGCATGTTTAACCATTCGAATAATCAACCACCTTTAGAATGTTGTAAAAGCGATCTTGCGATATTAGCTAAATAAGGGAGAAAACGTGATATCGAAGGGCACGCATCACACTGGGGAACCATTATGAGCAGCACACAGCATTTTCAATAACGAGGATACTTTCAAAAAGAGGGTTTCCCGTCGAATATGGGTTCACTGAATGAGCAGACCAACTGCCCGTTCCTCCGTCTTCGACCTTACAGTTATTCAAACATGTAGCATGGCGTGCATTAGAGATTGGTTTGGTTCTTTTTAGCACCCATTCGCCAGTTTTTTTTACCCAGTTTCATTATTCAGTCGATTATACTAATTTAGACTGTTAGAAGAGACTGGACCTTACCGTGGTGTGACGGTTCGCGCACCTCATCGACCCATTGAGCCGTCCCCACGGCACTCACAGAGTCCCCCATACCAGGTTGTTCAATGGCTAGAGGTCTGACGAACACAGTCTCCTGGTCCTCCAGGTTGAGGGTTGGAACATGTTCTGTAGAAATGGTAATGCATTTGCATTTCCCGCCAAACACCGCTGCCTTGTGGTTAGGCCTTTGAGCCAAAGGCTTTGGTTGAGGACCCTACCCGTCCTCCTGTGTGGGTGTCCTGACAGTATCCCAGCCCACGTACAACCATGAACTGCACATATACTATGAGGGCACCACCCTGTTGTGGTGCGCACCATTCCAAGCTACCGCCTGGATTGGGTTGCTGTAATTAGTTTAATTAAAGAACGGAATGCGACCTGAATGAGATTAACCGGTGATTTTTATGATGGCCTAAACAAGACATATAGCTCTGTATGTCACACGATGGTTGCTCCTCGGCCTTCCTTCCGTCAGAAGTTACCAACAGACTTTATTACCTGCGCGGAAAGCTGACATCTGTTCAATATAGCACAGTGAGGGGAGGCGGATTTAATGACCGGAGTGTCCGTGGTTCGAATCCGATCCCGGAATCCCAACTAATCCTGTTCACGCTCGGGTAACCTGGTGGTATCTCGGCTCTCGTGCCTCCTTCGGGTGGCACTGCGGCTATATACTCAAAGACATGAAAGTTGAACGAATATTTCTTGTGATAGTTTTATCAGTTTCCCACAAAACAAGTTTTTGATGAGACAGTAACCTTTGATTGATGAACATCGCAGAAATGAACCAAGTAATTTTTCGCAAACAGGATTGCAGATTGGACATGGTCATGTGGACGACGAACAAACGCGTACCTAGATCACTTTTTAAGGTATTCTTTTGTCCATCCAGAAAAAATCGTTCAGCGGTAGCCCCTTCCGGG